TCTTGATTTCTCGGCTTATGTAGAAGACGGACGGATAAAGTCCAACTACGGAAGCTTCCCGGACATACTCTTGAACAAGACCAGCTATAAACGCCACATTGGCTTCTCAATCCCTCCAACTACAAGTTGTTCCCGCCACAGATGGCGCACAGCTTCGCATAACCTCCATCTCGGCTCTCTTACGACCGATATTTAAAGGCAACTACACACGTGTTAAGATAAACACAATAGCATTCCAGTGTTCGATCAGACTACTACAATCACCATAACCTCTTAGTGATAACATTCAATAGATTATAACCTGCTTCATACATAGGTAATTTATTTCAACACTACAAGATTATTAAGAAAACCAAGTTCATTTGTAATTCACCTTTGTAAATCAATTTAAGTAAATAGAAATAATAAAGACTTGTGTTAATTATTAATCAGTGCATTCACCCTTTACTTGCCCGGCAACCCCACATAACATCTAGTGGGTTTTATTGTTCTAAGTTAATTATTACACGTTTGGCTGATGAGTTGAATTGTGGAATTAATTTCCGAACAGTATCCAATCAGAATTCTTCTTTAGTTTATGGTAATTCCAATCACGGCGCCTTTCGAGTGGTGGGGTCTCCCACCAGTGAGTCTTTCCAAGATGGGGGCTCCAATGAGAGTGGGCCTTGTTCAACTCTCTTCCATGATGGGGGGTCTTGATGCCACGCTTTTCCCTCTCCATCCTAGCATTGTCGCATGCATTTCTTATAATCATGCGCGTTGCGATCGGTCAGTGTTGTGAAGGTTAGGTGTAGCATTGTTTTTGAGTGTATCATCTGGCTTGTGTTTTTCAGATTAATTTTATGATTTGTATACGCCAGATGTTTATGATTTGTCGTCGATAGATGCTTTATGGCGAGGCCGTATCAAATGTCGCGTCGCATTAGTTTTTATGACTTGTTTGGTTGGACACTTGAAACTTTGTTCTCGCTAGATGTGTTTACGAATTGTATTTTTCTTTAGAAATTCGATGTTTTGCTGAATTGTTTAGATTTAGTTAATCCGAGGCGCGTTTGAATGTTATTTCTTGAGTAGCCGAGAGTTCGTCTTTTTCGGAACTCTTATCTCGAATTTTCCAGATGTTTAATGAACTGGGAGTTTTCTTACATTCTTGAACACTGTGCTTTGTTATTAGAAGAAAAGCTCATGTGAGATGTAGAAACTTTACTTTAATTATACATCAAATCATTTTAAACGACACAGAACTGTGGAATGTTCGATAATTTTAAATTTTCATTTTCATGCCAATCTTATAAAAGGACTTAATAATTTATCATCCGATTATATAACTACATATCTGCTAATATAATAAAGTTGATTTTATTTTGTATTTCTTTAATACTTAAATAGAATCGTCATTGACAAATAAGCCAGTAAATTGGCAATAGTATCTGAAGATATCTATATATACAGAGTAGCTATTCTGATTACTGGCTATTGCAAGTATCAAGTATCTGTAGAAAGTACATTGTACATATCAATATGAAGACGAAAATTTGTTATAATTTGTGTTATTAGTATAGGATATTCTACCATGTGAAACTGTTCATGATTGGAATATTTTTCAAGACCGTTGGCTTCAGGAAATTTAAAATTGTTTATTCCGCGTAATTATAAATATTATACTACTCGGAATCCTCAAGTTTCAAAAGCCTTGCCATCCCGGAATTCTGGAAGCTTCTAAAGCTTTATTCTTGAACGTACTGCAATGTTTATTTTGTCTGCATAGTAACACCTATCCATTATTCCAGGTAACTAAACTATCGCGTGGATAGTTAATGCAAGAAGAAATCAACAACGCTGTTATACCATATAATTTGCAGGTATACTCTCTCACTCAGTGCCATCACACTCTCTATCAATTGGTGCCATCAGACATTTGCTCAATCGGCGCCATTGCACACCCTCTCACTTAGTGCCGCAATCAAGACACCACCACGTGGCACTACACTAAGAGATGTCCAGTGATTTATGACCTCTCACTTCTCAGTGTAGTAATTCACCACCAAGCGCACCACGTCAAGAGGATCCAGAGATTTACGACCTCCTACCCCTACAAGTAGTGCATGCTAACGTAACGTGGCAACAACAAGGAATTTCAACGATTTTCAAGGCTTACGTAGAATCATAATAATGTAGTTGTAATATAAACGGAATAAAGAATCACGAAAAGTAAATGTGTTGAATACTGAATCGAAGCATACCCATTCCACTTAACCACACTTTTACCACCAGTTTACTGGTGGGCATAGTCTAATCCTAACAATCTTGATTCTTCGACCACCGGATGACTGGAATTCTAAACAGAGACCATTGAAATAAACAATTATTTATTATTTTTAACAATCCTACAAGTAGATACAGAATTTAAGTATCTTTTTCATTTTCGATAAGCTCATCGTACAAAAAATTTATAAACTGTTAATGCTTCATCATAATAGAGTTATAAACAGTATTTTATGATTGTTACTCAATAATATGGACAAAATTTCAACATAAAAACAAAATCAATATGAGTAAGTTCTGATAATGACTTTGTTTAGAATTCCATTCATCCAACTCGAAGGACCAAATGTATAGAATTAGACAATGACCACCAGTTTACTAATGGGAAAGAAGTGGGGATAAGTAGAAGGGATAGCATTTCAATTCAGTAATTACCACACCTTGCATTTCGTGCTTGCTTATTGCATTTATTTTATAACTACACTAGAATAATTCTACGTTGACTATGAGAATTGTTGAGATCCTGCCTTTCCTTGTTAGTTGCCACGTGGTGTTAGTATACACATGTTGAGGTAGGAGGTCGTAAATCTCCGTTCCCCTGGACGCGGTGCGCTTGGTGGTGGATTACTACACTGAGAGTGTGAGATCATAAATCTCTGGACATTTCTTCGTGTAGCGCCATGTGGTGGTCACCTGATTGCAGTCTCCTCCTTCATATCTTGCAGAGTGGAAGTGTGAAGAAATGGTTCAATACTTTAATGAGGCGTCGAGTGGTGTTGCTTGCACTGACTCGTGGAAATGACCACTTGCAGGGAGTGCTTGTTGCTGAGAGATCGTACGATGGCACTGAATGAGAGGTTCAATGTTGAGTAGTTTTACGAAACTAACCACCTTTTCCTTCCGTGACGACTCGGATGAGAGAGCTTCTTTGTTCCTTGGCGCCCATGTTAAAGTGCAGCGACCCTGCTAAGACAGAGCGTGTTCCTGAGTGACTAGCTCATGGCTGAGTAGCGCCTATCTCGTGGTGCGCTTGCCTTAAATATCCACTCGGCAGCTTAGTTAGCTGAGAACAATGGACGTGATTGTGGTGCTAAAAAGAATGGATGCGTTTGTGGTGCTAAAAAAACAATGGATGCGATTGTGCCCTTTTTGTTTAGCAACTGTTGAGGGATTTCCAGGAAATGATAACATTCGAGAAATTCTCAGAATTTCAAAACGACTTCCTTTAAAAATTCAATATTTTGAACGTATATATTTGTTTTTTGAATATTTTCTTAGACTCAAATTTTATGGTTCTATAGAAATAAAATCTATGTAAGACTCTTGATGTTAAATATATTAGTTGGAGTAAAAAATTTGTTAGTACATATGAAATAAATTATAAATTTATATTTCAATAGAACATATGAAATCAAGTATCAAAATTTTTTGGTATTATTTAATAAATGATAAAATTTATTTATTTATTTATTTAAAAAATAATTGAAAAAATTTCAGTTTTTTACATATTTGTCATATATTTTATATTTATTGATCTAAAGAACTAGAACAAGTGGATATTTGCTAATGAAAGTGTCACAATCTGTAGGAAAAAAGAAACCTAATTGGATAACATAGTTTTAGATAAGCGAGAAAAATTTTAATTTGTGGCTCTTCAAATACAAATAAGGACTCGAAGTTCTTGTTTGTTTTTCTCTTCTTCTATAGGCCACTTTAACTACATCTATGCGAAAGCTCTATTGATTGATTGCTGCCTGTGGGCTACAGGAAATTCAGTATTAATTCCAAAAATGAAAAATTAAACAGGCAAATTTCTACTTATGTTTTGACTTAATACAGGAATAAATTTAATATACTCGTATTAATTTTTTATATTTACAACTCGAGATGTCCGTTGTATTTTAATATTTGTCTATTTTTAAATAAACACAGGATTGAGACCCTCAAGCTGTTTGGAAGACAAAGTTTACATCCATATTTATACATATTCACCTTTCATACATCAATATTGATTTAAAAATAAAATGTTGTGAGCAGTATAACTCGATTGAGTGATTTAATAAAATTAATTTTAAAAAAACTTAACAAAAAGTAACTTAAAATAAAACACTGCTTTTGTTTATTGTGTAAACCAGAGAATTATTTAAAATAAAAAACCAAAACAGTATTGTTAAATATGAAGATCAATTGATTAAATATAAATCTGAATGAAAGTTAATGAAATTATGAAAATATGTTCGTATAAAAACATACAAAAATTTTAGCTACGAGTATGATAGAATTTAAAAAGTTTATTCATTTTAAAAGCATTTAATGTGTAAAACAGGTTTATTGAAGTAAAAACGAAAGGAAATTAGTGGTAGAAATAATTACAAATTCAATATAGAAAAGAAGAAAGATTTATAAACAATATTATTATTATGATTAAACTCATAAAAATGTCAATCATTAATGATGTATCAAAGCTAATGAATCTTGATACTCTAATCAACGTCTAAAATAGTTAACAAATTTAATATTTATAGAGATAATGATCATCCAGTAATTGATATTTTTTAAATAGCGATCAGACTTATACATGAAGATTTAAGTATAGATAATTCATTATACAGATGCTTTATTAAATTAAATAAAAATAATAGAAATTAGTATGAAACTAAATTTTGAACTATGTAAAAAGTGCCAACTTTCATATTTGAGTGCTTGTGTTATAAAGAAAGCTAGTGAATAAAGATATATGATTATTATTAATTAGCTATGGTTCGCAGGTACACGTTTGTACATCGAAAAACAAGAAGCCACTCAAATATACATACAATAAGTGACGCAAACTGAAAAAATCCTTCAATATAAACAAATTAATAGTTGAGAAGAGATGAAATGCATGGACTTTGAAAATAACTTCGCGTAAGTTAAAAATATTTTTATAAATGTGTAAATATATAAATATGTTAATACATTTTTAAACTAGATTTTGAATACCATTACCAAAAATAATTCAGAAGTTGTAAACTAATTGGTTTAAAGTCTACTATTTTTTTATATATAATAAATGAAAGACTATTGAATGAAATTATAATTTTTTTTCTTTATTCTTAAATGAATTACTATATACAATATAAATGTTTATAAACTTAAAGTTTTTGTTTTTTTGTATTAATTGTTGATTTTTTAATGAGTAGGAAGCATGAAGTTTACGTTATTTCTACATATATCATTAAATTGAATGGTTGAAAAAGTGTTTATTGGCAACACTTGCAAAAAATGAAAACAAAATTATATTTATCTTCATTTTTTCAAATAAATTTAATAATGAATTCATCCAATTAATTAATTTAATACAGTAAAAAATATAGTAAAAAGTAGATTTATTAATTAATATGTATTATCTAACTTGAAAAGGCGCATATTATTCTTTATGTAGATAGAAATATATTTAATTCTTTTTCATTTAATAACTATTTTATAATGTTATAGCTTAAATTTTACACTAACAACTTTTATGAGACTATTTTAATTAATTACTTTGCATCAAAATCTAATAGAAATTTGATAATTCATTTGATTATTAAGTTTTTGGATAATATTTAATGATAATAATTATATCTGAATTTTTAGTTTAAATTTGTATTGATAATTTTATAAAACAGTATTAAAATTATTATGAAAAAAAAAAATTATTTGATTGTTGGGTAGTGTGTATTCAAAAATAGTTTTAAGAGAAAACAAAAGATTTGTCAAATTTATTTAATTCACAACAATAATTGTATAAGTGTAATTGAACATAAATGTAATGGAAACGGTACAAAATAGCAGTATATAATATATATCAACTGTATATTTTATGACAGATGTTTGACCTTGTATATTTAGTCAATTACTGTGGGATGATATTGTTTTAAACACGAATATTGTGACAAATAATTTCGAAAGATTTATATATGTTTTGTGGTCAGTTATCTGATCCTGATAGAACAAAAACAACAGATGTCAATGTTATGGCAAGAAACAAATATATTAATTTTTATCCAAGATCATTAAACAACGGCTAAAGATAGTGAAATATGCTAATTATGCGTAGGTAATTTTATATGAAGATATATAGAATCAATTTACTTTAAAAGTTTTTTTTATTTTCTGATAATTTCATCGAAAAATGGAAATCAAGATTGAATATATTGAATATAATTATAGATGAGATATAAATATATGAAAACATTATACATAAATATTTATATTTGTCGTAGTGCATATAAGTAAGAGTGACAAGTATTCACAACTTACCTAATTTAGTTTCATAAATATTTAAAATATTAAAAAAATTTATGCATTAGTGAATATCTACCTTTTTATATTTCAAATATATTTTCATAATTACATAAAAAACATCTATCAGAGATATTTTCTACATTTCTTAATTTAATTTCAATTTAATTTACTCATGTAGAGCACCAATATTAAATATTAAAAGTTTTAATTGTATATTTAATTTTGTACTAACATACTATGGTAGAAAATAAAAATTGTATTTATTATTTATAAAGTTTTTTCAAGATGGACCAAGAATTGAAGCTGCTTTTCGGAAATATTTTCATCGATCTGAATTATCTGATGAAAGTGATACTTATACAATATTAGTTTGTCATGCAAATATTATTCGATACTTCATTTGCAGGTATGAGTTAATCAATATTATTTAATCAATATTTTATGACTTTTTAGAATCAAATTAATAAAAAACTTATTATAATTTATAAATATTTGCAGAATGAAAAGAAATTGCTTCATTAAAATTTAATAAATGTTAATTAAAAAAATAATTGTTTAGGAGAAAGTGGCACATAACATGTTTTTAGTACTTTTAATTTTCTTCATATATTAAATATATTATATTATATATTAAAGAAATAAAATAATTGACGTATTTTTCTCTTAGTATACTATCTAAATGTAACATAAACCTACTGTAATCACTACAAATTAAACAAAATTCATCTGATATGAATATAAAATTTCTAAGCGAATACAATATTGTAAATAAATTACTGTTATGTTACTTTGACGAGATGTTTGAATTTATGGTTATTTTTTATCTAATATAAAATTCTAAAAATATATATTATGTATGTCTGTCTTTTTTCAATATAAATATATTTGTACAAAATGTGTCCGATGATCCGGCTCGTTTTACCAAGACCGATTCTAAGGACACAAAAATGTTGCTGGTGACAACTCAGAGACCTTTTGGCGCAGTACATTGATGCTATTTCCTGAAAGTGATTAGTTATAAATTATAACCACTTCTTCAAGTAGAGCCGCGTGTTGGTTCTGCTACGAGCGCTGAATGGCGCTGAGATTGGCTTGTCGACACGCGCTCTATGCGTATGGGCACGTGCTTTATTGAGGTTATGATCGGCAAAGTTGGCGCAAATGGCGCAAAGATTGATTCTAACAGATTACACTTATGAGTGTAGCAAGCACACCTTCAACCAGAGGTAACTCGATGTTCTACTTTGCTTTTCTTGGCATAGTGCACTCATGTTATTCCTTGGGAAGTAAAAGGTTGTAAGGCTTTTACCACTTCATCGAGAAAGCCACGGCGTGTGTCTGTTATGAGCGCAGAACTCGAACTATGAAAAACGTTAGGTCGGCAAGATGAGTGCAAATGGCGTGAAGACTTGTCGACGTGTGCTGTTTTTAATGGGCACTGGCTTCTCCTTGAGTATAGACAGTAGTAATTAATTAAGATAATTTTGTGTGTACCTGGAGGTGGTTTCAATCCTTTATGTATGCTCGATGAACTGGTTTCCTAGAAACTTGAATCTTCAATAATGGCTATCATGCCTAAAATAGTTGATACTACATACGAAGACTAATCTTGGACTCAATTTAGAGACTTTTCGCTTCCTTTCTTCATTAAGGACTTCAACTGGTACGTGTTTTCAGACTTCCGATAAGGGAATTTTATACTTCTTTCCTTGAAGACTTGTAACGAAGTTGTCATTGAACTACGTTTAATGGACTTTCCACTTCTTATTTGAATAAGGATTTTATCGAGAGTGATGAATTTTGTAATTGTCTTTCTTAAATATATTCTTACCATGATTTTCACTTCCCCTTTTTTGTGTACAATCAGAGCACGGCTTTTGGGCAGCATGATTCAGCGTGCACGCTTCTTTTTCCACTTCCGAAGGATTTAGGATTTGACAATGATAACATCGAAAAGTGTTTTCGGCGACAGCGCTTACAATTTGTAGACTCTCCTCTCTCGTGGACTTAGTGACGTACGGGGTTCTTGGTCAAGCATCGTTGCTTGGCTCGTGTGAGAAGCAACATTTGGCGTACTTGACAACAATGTATGCATTGTGTCTCGTGACATTGAAGGCACCTCTGCGCCGAAGATTGCCCAATGTTGCGAGTTCTGGGTTTTAGGTTACAATGAATTTTTGGAAATGTTTTTCTACTTGTTAGGTTACGTACATCTGATACTCTCTAAATGTTCTAGCATAAACAGGCTTGTTGCGTTTTTGCCAGTAAACAACAAGGAACGTTTATCATGACAAAAAATAAGCGCGTTTGTAATGCGAAAAAGAATGGAAATGACTGTTCACGAGTGTTTTTCAGATGTACTAACCTTTCCGAGCCTCAAACAACCGTGGGAGAATTTTCTTAGAAATTATGTCCGTTCAATATTTCCCTTTGAAATAATAGCCGCTGGAATGTTTCCCAACTGATAATATTCGAGAGACTCTCTGAATCTCGAACAATGTTTATAAATAACTTTAACGAAAACAATGAATAAATTAAGATAACTAATTGTAGGCTTAAATATATTTGTAATTAAATCGTTTGATGTCGGAAACTAAAAAAAAAACTAAAAAAATAAACTACATGATATTAATATTAGTGATATAATTACGGGAGTAATTAAAAAATTTATCCTACCTTTATCTTAAAAAGACTAACTAAATATCATTGTAAAATGTCAATGTGTACTTGATATCCAACAATAAGGAAGTCTCAGTTTTAGAATAAAAAATTAATTTTTTTGTAACTCCATTAATATTAAAACTATGTATGCATGTGTTGCATTTTCTATAACAAATCATTGCCGAAGCAGCGAGAATTTTCTATGTCTTCAGCATTATCCTTTAGTGGTGGCCGGATGGCGGTGAACTTATTTATTTGAGATTGTATTAGACGTCGAGGGTCTTCGTACTTTTCTCGCAAGGCTTGCCATGATAGTTGTAATGCATTGCTATCTAACCGAAAACTCAGTATGGCCTTGGCAGGTTCACCTGTCAGAGTTTTTTTGTAAATAATAGAGTTTATGTGATTCGCTATATCTATTGTTATCAATAACTGTGGAGGCAAATAGATCTCGAAACATAGGCCATTCTAAATAGTCGCCTGAGAATTTTGGGATGGAAATCTCGGGGAGGCACTGCATATCTATGTCAGGTCTCATTCCAGGTGACCTTTCATACTGTGATTTTTCGCATTGTGAGGATCCTTGTGTTCCTGTTAGATTATGTATTAAACGATTGACCCTGAGGCTTACATCCACATATAGATTGAATTGATCTCGTTTGATATTAGATGTAAAATATTCATTCGAATCCAGAGCAGTTGACCATGTTGATTCCATCAATAATTGTTCCTGTGAAAAGGCTCTGTGTAAATCGTCTAACATTTCCTTTAGATCCACTGCTACAAATACAGTTGTATTGGACGATGGTGAAAGAATCCGTTCCTCTAATCGCCTCATTGACTCTATTCGAATGTGTTGAGCCTTGATTTTTGCATTAAGCACTGCCAGTTGTTTGTCCTTCATACTGCGAGTTACACGAGATTCTTTCTCTTGTATGATAGGAACGTTAAAACTAGCTTCAATGTTACTTTTGTCTTGGTGTGACATTTCTGAAATAATATGGAGTTAAAAAACAACCAGGGTTTACGAGTACTTATGTGTGATGAAGAATCCACAAGTATTCCTTTAATATTTTTGTAATTATAAGTTTTCCTTATAGCAGTCTTCTTTATATATCTTGTTCTATTGATACAGATTTTACTGTATTGACTTCCACTTGTTAGGCTCAGAAAATTGCTATCTTATGAGCCGTTTCTCTGGCTATCCGGTTGGAAGGACCAAAAAATGTACAAAAATGCACCTCGTCGTTCCGACTTGTTTTATCAAGGCCGGTTACACGGATACAAATTGATGCCGTTGACAATTCAGAGACCACGGGTCTTGTGCGGTAGCGATGACAGGTCACAAGTAGAAGAGATATTCTAATAATACAATAAGATATGGCTGAAGTATATGCTTTTTATTCTGTTATTTATTAATGAGAAGGTTGACGAGAATTACTATTATATTATATTATATTACCATTATATTACATAATACGGGTTTATGTCGTAGTTCTTCCGAGGCAGTAACTACTGTTCCAGTAACAGTGTTAATGGACAATCCGAAGAAGTGTAAGTCGTTCCCGAAATAGCGCTAAATAGACTTTCACTAAACTTAACTGAGTATGAAATGTCTCAAGGGTTTAATATATTGAGAGAGTATTACTAAAAGAAAGATATATAAAAAGAGAGACACTTCGAAAAGAGTAATATCACGAAAATACCACTAATTGAAAACTATCAAGTGTAAATATCAAGACAGTTAAATATCAGGAGTGACAAGGATTAAGAGAGTTAAGTATCACGAGTAAATGAGTATTGAAAATTGCGCCCCTTAAATACATTTGCTGATCGTGAATTTTACTTGAACCCCTTCCCTTATTTACTGTCCAATCAGAGACTCCTCCTTTATAGTGCGAGGGCAGCGCCTCTTGTGGTTTCGGAGTTAATTAAGGGCCTTGTCGTCTCTTTGTCTTCATGATGAGCAGATCTTTCATTGCTGCTGCCGCTTTCGACAGCATGTCGGCAGCGGCAAGGGGGGTTTGCTGACACATCTGGTAACAGCATTGCAACTGGTTGACAGCGGGAAGGGGAAGGAAGGTCCGCTTGCGGTAATGCTTGATGTAGTTGCCGAGCGGAACGAAAATGCAGATGTCAAAACTATAGGTTTTTCCGTGTTTATGGTATTGTTTTTCCAGATGTTTTATGACACTAATGCGTGAGAATTTTGAGCAAGCGAAGGTTGAAATCTAAATACAAATTTTACGATGTTACTTGCCAGATGTTTTATTGCACTGACAAAAAAAGGAAAAATGTTCTCGCATTCTCGAACAAACTATTTGTGGTTGAATTAAATCAAACTTATGGAATAATAGTTGGACAAAGATAATATTATTCATTTAGAATGTGTCCGATAGCTTTATAATTTGCAGCCCGCTCTTACGGATTCTTTGGAAGGATTGAAGTAGAAGAGCTATAGGTTAATACAGTCTGCACTTCTTCGTTACTTATGGTTTATATGCAATTACATTATTGATGTGTTGGATTGATGTTATGGAATGGAATGGTGATGATTTGTTGCTGGTTTTACAAGGATCAGCTATGAATTGTGCATACTCCATGATATAAGTATGTCTTGTTTTTTGTAGTCTGGAATTTTCTTGATATGAAGGAGATAGTCTGAACACCTTTATCTTGCAGTACAGGAGAATTTACGCATATTCCTTCATGGTGGCCTTACTTTGAAAGAGTGAGTGGTGAATA